TGCCCTCAAAATCTGCAGAACGATTTTCTGAATGGGATGGAGCTGTTCCCTTCACGTCTACCACGAAAAAGGTCATGAGATCGGTTACCTGCCAGGCCAAATTTTTTTCCCTTCTCGCAGGAACATAAGAAAAAGCGGTCATAGCGTCACTACTGTATCAGTGCTCACCTAAACTTTACAGTTTGCGTTCGCTTATTAGTGCGCTTGGGCGCTTTGCAATCTAGAAGAATCTTCGACTGCACATGATATCACACTCGCTCAGTGAGAAAACGCCTCTATCGTATGCCGGTGGAGCGCGATAGAGGCGTTTTCCGCGCTGAGGCGAGTTGTCATATATTCGTGAGTTCAGTGATAGCGAAGACCCCTGGGTACACGTGTCTAGCTAAATCTGGCACTTTGACCCGACTTTAAAAAGTGAGCACTCATGGGGTGCGGTTCAGTTCATGGTCATACCTATTCAGCAACAGATACAGACTCCTGTACAGAGCCTCGTCTTGCCATTTCTGACGCATTCCTTCTGTTACTGCTCCATTTTCCTGATATCCATTAGGTTATCCCAAAAGTCCGTGAACATTTTTTTGAATCTCGTATCAGATCTTTCCTTAGCCCTTCCAAGATCCAGTTTTGCTCTATGGGAAGTGCGTTGAGTAAGCATCCACAGTTTCTTTTCCGTCCCTCGCAGTTGCTGTTCTTATAACCAAAACGGTAACTGGAATTCATAATTTTCAACACTTTGCTATGTGAATGTCCACCAAGCCACAACGTGGTTGGAACCACAAGCGGCATTTGTGTGGTTAGGTCCTGATGGTGGGGAGCGCATGTAGGTACTGTCTACAACTTCACTCCCGCTTCCGCCGTAGGACGGAACAGCGCTGTGATTGGATATGGAGTGAGTGTCTCTAGGTGAGTCACTCCCGGAAGCGCCAGTGGTCAGATCCCAGAAAGGGCAGAACTGATCGCGCAATCCTATCAATCCAGTAGAGCGGGTAGGCTGTGTATGATGCGCGTCAGTGTCTGCCCTGGTGTATGTAGTGGGCTTTCTTTCTCCCTTCCCAAAACGGAATTTCTTCTTCTCAGCGCTGTGGTAACCAAAGAGCTTCAGGATTTTCATCCCCTTTGCAAAGGGGAGATGAAAATCCCCACCATTTGGTCCCACAACCGAGCATTGCAACAGCAACCTACTTCACCACTGCTCAGGGTCACACGTTCCGAAATGACACTGCTCGAGATCCTGAAGCTTAGCTGGGGAACTCCACCATAGTATTCGTGTAGCCCTAACTTAGCTCTTTCCGATCGCCATCTAATATCCCGACTACGGCCATCTCCTGGGTAAAAAAATACGATTTTTGATAGTACTTCAGAAATGACTCTTTCTGGGCACAACCAAGCATCTCCATCTTGTTCCAGAACCAAGAAGCTTCTGGAACCAGGGCAACCATTCACTGCGTGGTGATTGGCAACAAGTTGCCAGTGGAGCACTGGAATAATCTTAACACAAAAAAATGTGTAAAAGTTTCACAAACTTTCAGGACAACCTAATTAAAGCAAATTCCAATCCGAAGACAAGGAGTCGATAGCAGACTGGGTCTGAAACCACTGGCAACCACCATTCCACCAACTGCTGGCTAACTTTTCACACAAGTTAGGGCAAAACCTTACATTTGGTTAGAACTCTATCCCCAGGGGCAGTCATGCTCCCCGAACACGAAAATGACACACATTAGGCGTTTGAGTGCTTCAGACTCAGAACAGACATACCTCACAAAATGCAAAAAGCTGCCTTCCTCAGAACACACGAACCTCCATCGTACGCATATGAAGCAATATAGCCACTACACCATGCCGCTGTTGAGTGTGCTTATTGCTTTCGCGGCTCATACAGGCGCACAATGGCTGACGACCGGCGCTGGGATGCGTGTCCTCCGTCAGACCAACCTTCATGAACTCCGTTCAGAGAGCCTCCGCAAATTCCGAAGACAGATTCCAAATCAGCGTCCAAAAGCACGTACAGCGATATACATCTATTTACAAATGGTCACTTTGACATGGTGACCATCCCTAGTAAGTACAGGCGGCATTCATTTTGTGATTTCAGCCTGCAGACTATGTCAGCTTCCACTCGCCCTTCTATGTAGAACGTACACAATCCTGCTTTCCTTGAATGCCTTCCTTTGGAAGGGGGCATACGCAATAAAAAGCAATTTAATGCAAAAGGCAGGTGTCCTTTGGCGCTGTTTCAAACCAGCTCTGATGCAATTTCGCTGATGAAATCTGGCACGGCATGGAATCAGCAAGTAAATTCGTGTGCTCACGGGTAATTTCTTTTGCATTTTCAGTGGTTTCTTTCAACTTTCGTTTACTTGATTACTGACCACCTCCAATTTCATTTTGGTCCATTGCAGTGCTCCATTAACTACGATGTACTCGCGAGGCTTGTCTTCAAAAGCTTCGCCGGAACAGCTGCACTTTATAGACACAGGATAACATTGGCACTGCGGTGGGCGAATGAATCACCAGAAGATGCACGATCATCCAGTGCCTCTGTTAGCAGAGCCCCGCGTCTGAAGACACTACCCCTAAAAACCCAAAGTAGAGCTTAGAGCTCGCACTGGTACCTACGCGGTATGTGGAAAATCACCGCATGAAGGGCAAACAGTCTTGGCTGACCTTTACACAAGGCAACAGCAGAAGGCAACGGCCACTCGGGAACAGGGGCACAGAAGGGTGAATTTCTTTATGTCTGTCTGCGATTGTGCGAACTGCAGCTCACACTGTAGGCATTATCACGATTCATTGGGAGATACTTGTTGTTTTTGACAGGAACAGAAAGCGGTGGAATGAGAAGCCACGAGAATTATCCCATTACCAGTTGGCTCGCCGGCTCACGCCAACGCGCCTCCTTCTGTGATATGGCCCGGCTTGGACGCAAGTACCTTGTTTAACGTGTTTGAATACTCAACTAATACATGGTTTTTTATCTGTACACATGATCAACACTTTTTGGCAAGTAACATCAGTAACATGCTAATCTCAACATCATTACTGTGTATGGAATGGTGGTAAGGAGCGTTGATCAAGTGCACAGATAGGAGAAAGGCTGAGTATCGATGCGTTAAACCATACGAAAGCAGTAAGCGCGGCGAAGCCACGAAAGCTCAACAAAGCCGGGCCGTATCGCAGGGGGAGCGTTGGCGTTAGTCAGCGAACCGACCGGTATCAAAAGTACATACTACGACAAGGCCGATGCATCACACCTCATTAAATGGATACCTCGTGCTCGAGGGCACACCCCGCCCACTCCACCGCACTGTCCGCCCACAGCGGGTATGTCTCACACTGTGAACCGGTGACCCCTCGCTGACCACAGTGCGCTTTTTTCCGGCATCTGTAGTGCTCTGGAACCGATTTACAATTTTCTGAAATGAGTACCTTATGCGCAATTGCACGCCCTGCCCACTGTGGGGCGAGTTTCAACACACCGCAGGTATGCTCGACTCTCGCATATGTTTCTCTTTTCCATGGGCTTTTTCGATCTCCAAACTCTCTCGGGGACGAGTTACTGTATTTTGTGGGGAGCCCCGCCCATATCAAACAAGTCCTACCCATTTCGGGTATGTCCCCTACTGTAGGCGAGGCTTACCTTAAATTAAGTGTGCTCTTTGCACTTTGTCCCGGGTGAGCACCTTTAGCTGGAGCGGTGATAGTGTAGGAGGTACTGTAGCATCTCCTGAGGTCTGCCTGCGGCATGACCTCACTTAATTGCTGCGCTGACTGCTGACCTCTCACTGGCTGCTCAACGGAACGAGATAAATGGAATGGAATTCATCTAGTACATAGTAGGAACTGATACGTGAACATTAGTAATTTCTCAATTCCATAAATATTAGAATGAGGATAAATGCTTACGTTGAAAAAAGAACTCTGTCAAATTTTCAGAAATTTGTGTTGTTAGGTGCACATCTCACGACCTTCCAAAGGCAAAGTAGTTCTTCACCCTTTTTCTAAAAGCCTCTCTCTATTCACCTTGCTGAGCTCCCACCCAATTCAGAGGTCATCTGATAAGATATATAGTTGGATTATATAGCTGGATGAGAACAACAACACACCTCGTTAGTATGTGTCGTTGCTCGAGCATGCTTCCAAGTTACTACTACAACGGGTTCTATCAAGACACTTTCATGCATGCTCTCCTCACAGCTTCTGCTGCTCCATCCGATTCGCTACACGTTTCTACTGCTCTAAGCCGGCCCAACAAGTCATGCGGATGGCTTCTGCATGGCTCCCTCCCCGATGGTTGATCTTCAATAGTTCTGTCTAAGCATTCACACCTGCTTATTTCCTGACATCTACCCCATTTCAGAGCAGCCCTTCAGAAATACTCATTGGTTTCGCTGCTTTTAGATTCGAAGAATGTTATCAGAACGGGCCCACTCAGGATCAAGTAGAAGACTTGCAGAAGGATGGGTAGATACCTAACCAGAGAAACTATATAATTTTTGGCATATTAAGTAAAGTATTTTAATTTAGCCGTGAATTTACTGCCAGTATAATGACAATAACTTGCCTTTGGAAAGGATGAGCGGGTGCACCTAACAGCACAAACTGCTGAAATTTTGCCAGGGTTTCTTCTCAAGGTAAACGTTTATCCTCATTTGAATATTTATGGAATTGAGAAATTACTAATGTTCACGTATCAGTTCCTACTACTAGATAAATTCCATTCAATTTATCTCGTTTCGTTGAGCAGCCAGTGAGAGGTCAGCTTAGCGCAGCAATTAAGTGAGGCCATGCCGCAGGCAGGCCTCAGGAGATGCTACAGTACCTCCTACAGTATCACCGCTCCAGCTAAAGTCCCCGCCCTTTTGTCCCGTGTCCGAACCATCTTAATCGTGACTCGACCTCTTCCAAGTTGTTCAGAACCGAATCTCCGGATAGACAAACAGACATACAAACAGACGTAGGAAATTATATATAGTAGGTAATTTTTCGATTTCTAACTCTCAATATAATAATGAGGAACTTACCACACTTCCCACTTTTTCAGTATAACAGTCATCACAAACGAACAAAACGTTTTCCGGTTTAAGGTCTGTATGCGTCAGTTTGTTGTCATGCAAGAATTTTACGGCATAACAAATCTGATACATAATGTGCCTCGTATCTTCAATGTGATACGGTCGAAAATTATATTTCCTCTGAAAAAAATTAAAGGATTACATCTAGCGTGCATGACTGAAAGAGATCCGTAACTAAAGAAATGACCTGGAAATCGAAAACGCTGAGGCCATACAATTTGAAAACTAAACAACAATGCCCGTGATAGTCGAAGTGTTCCACCAGTTGAATAATCTTGCTGGAATCAAGAAATAATCACTCGTTAAATTAGATTCAGCCCTCCAAGAAACAATTTTTGGGTCTGCTACATACATAAAGAGTCGATTCGAAAAGCTGTATTGAGGAAAGAGACGAGTGAACATCTAGTAATGTCATCCGTTTATAGTTAGCTGAGTCACAACCCTCCTACCCTATGAACAGAAGTATATTGCTCCATTGAATGGTCAAGGTTGCTGACGTTGATCCGCAAGGGCAACAGCAGCCCAGTGCAACCACACGAAGAATGCCGCGTAAAATGCAGGTTGAGAAATTCAACGATAATTTCAGCGACCAAATACTACGGATAGTGTTCAATTCAGGGTCTAGCCCGCCACTGGGGGTCGTATTCGCAGGGGCCAGTAATGAACACAGCATCGACGCAGCTTGCGGCATGGGTGATGGAAGCATAGCTGACGTGTGGTGCTGTACAGTTCATAAATCAGAGAAAACCCTAACAAATCCTTCTTGTTCCAGAAAGTCAAACTGCTCCGCCCTTCAACACTTCACGACTTGCAGTATTGTAAAGAGCTCCATAGAACACCGCCCTCACTTCTTTGCTTCGCCATGGACTGCACTCCGCGACGATGCCGCTTTCTGGGAATACATAACATACAAAAAGGTGCAGGTTAATGTACAGCCGCTTCAAGCTTATGCTTTCCATAAAGCCACAAGGAACAGGTGGCCGGAAGAGCTGTTTTATATGAAGAGGTGGGTCATATCTGCAGAGGCCAGTAGTGGACACAGCAGCCACGTAGCTCGCAAGGTGGGTGATGCGTTCGGAAATGAAGTTGAGTACAAGGCGCATTATATGGAGCGTTGGTCAGCGCCTTTGTGCATCAATTCCAATATGAAACATAAAGGAGATGTACGGAAAATCCATTCAGCTTTTTGGATGGAAATGTTGGCTTTATAGGGAGAGATCACCATATTGAAACTACAGATATCGGCGACGCAAGAATGTGTTGTTGTGCTCTTCAGAAAAAAGCCTTTCAGTTTCTGGAATCATGTAGGTTTCCTCTCTACGTTATGTCTTGACGAAGTTATGGCCTTTGAAAGGCAAAAAAAAGCTCGCGTTCACCAAAAATTTTTGGCGATATTTGAGTCATTATCCGCGACGCGCATCTTCACAATAGTTAAGCTACAGTAAGATGTTGTCCTCCTTAGAAAGAGAAAACCTTCTAGTCTTCAAAACTGCGGCTCTCCGCTTTGCGGTATATCACAGCGAGTTACACCATTGAAATGTAAAATCTCACACACACCAAAATCTTCCCGTTATTTTCTGGCCTGGAGCCGCCATGCAGAATTGTAGAATATTTTCTATAGGCTCTGCCCATATGACACGTTCTTAACGCGTTGCGAAAAATGGTTTCTGAACGATGTTAGATCCTTTCGAAAAAGACTATATGGGCCAGTAGCGCTTCAACGCTTCAACGCGCGACGCAGTCGCCGTTCGCTCAATGCCTTGGCTTCTCATTTGGAATTTATCGCTCGCATCATCGGCGCATCACGCGATCTGGATTTCGATACCGATTTTCTGAGTGAAGGTTACACTAATTCTGCCTTTCTTCTTTTGAAGTTGTGTTCCTTGAGTCTTCATGGATCGCTGCTCTTTTTTCGGACTGATTCTCCTCTTTCTTTTCCATTTGTTCAGAATAATGTGGTTCCACTGCAAGTCTGCTATGGATTTCCTCTTTTACAGCAACCGCTGAAGCCCCCCCCCCCGTTTTCCGCGATGTGATGCTTGACCCTACTTCAATTAGGAACCATTAGCGAACTAGCATCCCACACTAGGCGATGAAGAGAAAAATCCTGAAAACACCCCAAACAAAATCTATCCCTGACAGACACAAGCACTAGTTCTCCGAACTTACTGGCAACTCAACACGGCTCTATGCAGGCATCGCTCACAAATCGTTTCTTCGCTTCTTTCAGTTTGAAGTGACACCTAATACTAGAAGAAGAAAAAAAAACATTGGATCAAACCCTGTGCAAGAAATAGGGATTACGGTAAAGCAACAATGCACAACGAGCATTCTCAACGGAATAGCATCACTGCTGAATTCAAGCAGCGTCAGAGCGCACCTTGCCATGCAAAGTGGACGCCTAGTGCTTGGTTCTTCTGATCAGATGTTTAAAACCACAGCCAAGATATTAACAACTTTTATTTGGCTTACGTTTCGGCCTTGTCGCCTTCGTCGGAGCCTGGAAAGTCAAAGATAAGGTGACCTACCGCCGAATGCCATTTCAGACTTAAGAACAGCTCACCATAGACTAAAGGCGTCTAGGGAGGTCTCGTAGCTCACAAGCACAAACAACTAACCTTAGGAGAGCACGGCTAGCTTGAGTTTCGACCACCGCTAAACTGACTCACTGTGGGTGGCTTCAGCTGACCCAGCCCTTCGACCCGAAGCCGATGGCGATTGAAGCCCACACAGGTCAGCGAAGGGGCGAGCTCACTTGTTATGGCTAGGCATTCATCTTTCCTGTTTGGTTTTTGGCGCGTATCCAGAAGGCCTCCAAAGTTTTGCGGGCTGAAGTGTGAGGCTCTCGCGACAAGATCCTGACAGAGACTTGGAACTCCGCCCCTCCGTGTGCGTACACTCTGTGTCCACCCAGGGGGTCTGAGGCCTCGATTTCTTCATACCGTCCAGATGTTCCTTCACCCTGGAGCAAAGTGGTCGCCCAGTTTCGCCGATGTATTCGTCCCCACAGAGGATGCATGAGATCAGGTAGATCACACCTGATGCCATGCAGTCACCCTGCTTCCCATGTGGGCAGATAACACAATGGGGGTAAGGCAATACCGGTCGTACCAGCGATTGCGAACCAATTGCTGCTTAAGGGACGTGGGAGGGATCTCGACCACCCGGACCACCTGCGTAGGGCCGTTCTTACGGCGGAGCTGATCCATCACTGACGAAGGGCAAGTAAAACGGCACCTTCTCGGAATCCTCGTTCGCAGCCCTATCTCGTCGCCTAGTGGGTGGTCCAGGGAGGGTCCATCTTTTGGGGGGTAACCAGAGAGCTATCTTCCGAGCAAGCTCCAAAGACCTGATCACCCGAGGAGACCACTCTCGCCGTCCTGAACATGTTCCTAGCGATAGCCCACCTTGTCCTCACTGGATGCGCCGACCGGAAATGGACCAGGATATTCTTGTTGCTCGGCTTGCGGTACCACTTCGTCCGATAGCACCCCCGCTCAAGTTGGAATCTGTACGTTGAGGGGGAAGCCAAGTGTTCACTGGCTTCTCACGGGTGAATCGGATATTTTCTGCCTGGTGAATCGGATATTTTCTGCCTGGTTGTTGAGCCAGAACACCGCTGTAGAACAAACGATAAGGCAGTCGTCTATGTACCGGCGGTACAAAATAGGTCGGCGCTCAAGGAGGGGCTTCTCTATCCTGGACATGTAGGCTATGGCCAGGACTGGTGCCAACCGCTGACCCATTGCCAGGCCCCTGATCTGCTTGTAGTACTGCCCCGACCACCTAAATATGGAACACTGTAGACACTCTTTGACAAGTGTCATCACGTGGGTGGTCGATAGGCCGTACATGGTTATCGATGTCTCGTGTTCTCCGAGCAGTTCAGAAACGGCTTGCATGGCATCTTCGTTTGACACGTTGGTGTAAAGAGACGTGACGTCAAACGACTCGATCACATGGTTCCTCCTGAACCTGGCCACCCGCAGCTGGTCGAGCAATTGGTTGGTGTTACTGAGGTGGGCAGGGATGAACGGTAGAGTTGGCCAGAACCAGGTTTAGGAGCCAAGATATCCTATCGGTGGGTCCTCCTACACTGCTTATTATTGGCCGCACCTGGAAATTCGAGGGACGGTTGAAGACAGGGTGGCCTGCGAAAGTGTGTGTGTTTTCAAACTTGGGAAGTCACACTACAGACGTGATCCCACAACTTTTGGTAGCTGTGCCGCCCTCACCACATCAGTCCATACCCTGTACAACCTACGGTACTGTTTTTTGTACTCGTCCTCAGACGAAGGGCGGTAAAGGCTCTCGTCTTCCAGGTGGGACCTCGTTATGGCCATGTCGAGCTCTTGAGGTAGAGCTACAAATTCTCCCCCCTTATCGCTGACCGATATTTTGAGGAGATTGGAGTGCGTGAGGTCTCTGAGTTCCTTAAGCCCTTCTTTCTGTGCCGGTGTGAGGTTGGAAGGGAACCGCTTCGAGCTGTTGCGACTGATGTCGCAAACAGACGGAACTTGACGTCAACCGAAGGGTTAGGATCCTGTGGCTTGAAAAACAGGGAGGGGAACGGCATTGTGGGGAAAGCTGGACCCTGTCAGAGATCGACCCTGACCATTTTCCTGCTGTTTGGCCTTTAGACGGAGGGTATCCTGGAGATTCTGCAAGGCACAGGATTTTGCGCGATAGCCCCGTGACTTATTGATTGACCCGGTGAAAAATTGGGGCCGAGAGACAGAACAGATAGCGCCTTACTGGAAAGATTGATGCCGCCAATCACAGTGACTCTAGATGGTACAGAACCCGTCGCTTCACTGTCATCAGCTTGTTGGCGGTCTACGCTAGCGGAGGTAGTATCTTGTGCTTGTGCTCTACGACACCCTCCTAAATCTACTAGTCTACTGAACTTATTCTGAAGTCTTAATTTGACCTTCGAACGAATAGTATCACACAGTATTCACAGTATAGTGTCACAACTCGGCAGATACCTTTCACAATACAGTTCGTTGCACTTGATCAGCATGAAAAACACATGACTGTTGCCAATGGAAGAGAATAGTGGGTGAGTCAAAGATAATTTGTGATACTATTCGTTCGAAGGTCAAATTAAGACTTCAGGATAAGTTCAGTAGACTAGTAGATTTAGGAGGGTGTCGTAGAGCACAAGCACAAGATACTACCTCCGCTAGCGTAGACCGCCAACAAGCTGATGACAGTGAAGCGACGGGTTCTGTACCATCTAGAGTCACTGTTATTGGCGGCATCAATCTTTCCAGTAAGGCGCTATCTGTTCTGTCTCTCGGCCCCAATTTTTCACCGGGTCAATCAATAAGTCACGGGGTATCGCGCAAAATCCTGTGCCTTGCAGAATCTCCAGGATACCCCGTCTAAAGGCCAAACAG